ATCGATATATACATGGATGTACATTTATATACATATAGACAGGAATGACGCGACAAAGTGGAAAATGATGGATGTGTTTTGATACTTGAAAGAGAGAAGAAGCCAAACTGATTCTTTTCTTGTTCCTTTGGTTTAGAATTTAGGGATGTTTGCTTTCATATCTCAATCTGTTTGGTGAAACAGTTACTCTTTTTTTTTAAATACACTGGGTCATTCTCTCACTATAAATTTTCATACTCAAACAATCTGTCAAAATTTTACAAAAAAAAAATCATGAAAACTTCTTTTACACACGAAGATATCATTCGAATAGAATCAATTTAAGTATCATTAATATTACTCTCATTACTAATTGCAATTTTATTTCTATTTCTATTTCTATTTCTATTTCTATATTTTTCTATTTTCTATTTATAACAAAAAGTAAATATTATATATTTAATTAAATAGAAATTTAACTGAATATATATATTTAACTAAATATATATTTTACTAAATAAAAATTTAACTAAATACATATTTTACTAAATAAAAATCTAACCAAATATATATTTAACTAAATTAAAATTTAACTAATTAAATATTTTACTAAATAAATTTTAACTAATTAAATATGTAACTAAATATATATTTTACTAATTATATATTTCACTAATTAAATATTTAACTAATTATATATTTCACTAATTATATATTTCACTAATTATATATTTCATTAATTAAATATTTAACTAAATATATATTTTACTAATTATATATTTCACTAAATAAAAATTTAACTAATTATATATTCAATTAAACAAATTTAAAACAGTTAAACTTTTGTCAGTAAATTAACATCGATTAATCAATTCTGAATTAATCAACTAATGAATAAATAATTACAGATTGAATTAATTTCACGCCGATTATTTATGAATTAATTAAATTATCAAAGTAATTAATAAGATAATTGAAGATTTTACCTAATTGAACAAACTAATTATTATAATAATTTGTTATAATTAAACTCGTTTAAATATTTAGAAAGTTAGTTTTAGATTTTTTCTAATAAAGAAAAAAGATCATTGGTCATTGAATTTATCGAATTCGCTAATTAATTTAACGAATTTTAATGATTAAAATTATTAAAATTTTTTTTAATAAATTTAGTTTTTGTCTTTTGTTTAATAAGGAAAAAAGAGCATTGGTCTCATTGAATTTATCGAATTCGCTACATATTTGAATTTTTGTTTAATGATTTATAAATTCGCTGTCCGTTATATAAATTAACACATTTCCGCAAGAAATGACGTCACTTGGTTTATTCTGTTCTCTGGAGATGAAATGAATGCTGGTTATATTAGCTGTTCTTGTATTGTCTGCCATGTGGTTAGACGCATTCCCACAAGTTCGTTCAATCAACACGAACTTTGTATATAAACTTAACTGGAGTGTGTAACTTTTATGTGTTTTATTACTAACCAGAAATTTAAATTGAAACTTTTACTTTTTTACTTCAAATTTATCAAATATACGAATTTAAAAATTTTTAAATTAACAAATTTACAAAATTACAGAATTACAAAATTATAAAATTACAAAATTACAAGTTTATAAATTTTCAAATTTACAGATTTACAATTTTAAAAATTACAAATTTATAAATTTATAAAATTACGAAATTAAAGTTTACAAATCTACAAGTTTACAAATTAAAACTTTACAATTCTACAAAATTTAAAGATTTAATTTTACAAATTAACAGTTTGATAATTTACAAATTTAAAAATTTACAATTTAAATGTTTACAAATATACAAGTTTGCAAAAAAAAAGTTTCCAAATTTAGAAATTAACATATAAAAAGTTTTAAATCTATAAATTTACAAATTAAAAGTTTACATATTTACATATGTAATTAAAAATTTATAAATTTATAAATTTACCAATTTGAAGTTTACAAATTTACAAATGAAAACTTTTCAAATGTAGAAATTCACATATTAAAAGTTTTTAAACCTAGATACCAATTTACAGATTAAATTTTGCAAATTTGCTAATTAAAAGTTTACAAATCAAGAAATGTGGAAATTAAAAATTTTTAACTTTTAAATTTTCCAATTTTTAATTTACAACTTTACAAATTAAAAGATTGAAAATTTATACAAAACTTAAAAATTTACAATTTAAATTATTTCAAACCTATAAAATTGCAAGTTACGAGTTTAAAGAATTATAAATTGGCAAATTTACAAAATTACAAATTTTGCAGATTTGCAGTTTTACAGATTTACAAATTTATAAATTTACCAACTTAAAATTTACGAATGAATACTTTCAAATTCTCTAAATTTACAGAATAAATTTTACCAATTAACAAATAGAAAATTTACGAAACATAAAAATTTAATATTGTTTAGAATTCTACAAATTGTCAAATTAAAAGTTTATAAACCTAGAAATTTAAATTTAAAAATTTTTAAATCTACAAGTTTTTACAAATTAAAAATTTACAAATCCATAAAATTGCAATATTTTACAAATCTATAAAAATTTACAAATTTTCATATTTATAAATTTACTAATTTCGAGAAAAATTCCGGGAAAATTCAAAATACTAATTTAAAGTTTCCAAATGTGTTTACAAATTAAAACTTTACAAGTCTAGAAATTTACATATGATAAATTTGTAAATCTGCAAAGTTATAAATTAGAAATTTATAAATCAATAAATTTTAAATTTGCAAATTTTAAATTTACAAATCTACAAATTTACAGATTAAAAATTTACTAATTTAATTAGTAAAAAGTAGACTAATTTAATTTAGTAAATATTTCTATTTACTAATTTTTAGTATTACTTTACAGATTCTATGCTAAAAATTTAGAAGTAAACTTTCTGGTTAAAAATCAAAACTACAATTTTTTTCTAACAGAAACAATTTAAAATTATTATTATTATAATTTCACTATTTGTTTAAACTTTAAATTACCAAATAGAATTAGTGAAAATGTTGACTAATTTGAACTTTACTCTCGATGGTGAAAAATTTTTATATCAATAAAGAAGAAGAAGAAGAAGAAGAAAATTAAATTGTAAGAAAAAGAAAAAAGAAACTGTTCTTTAAATAACTGCAAGTTGTTACAAATTGAAAGTCTTTTAAATGTGAAATTGAGAGTTGCCATTACATGACTGTTCGAAATCGAACAAAATTTGAGCAGGTAACAGGCCTCTTGTTAACAAAACTGGTATATAATGGCGACCACGTGACCTTGAAGAATTTGATTGCCATCGACAACCAGAAAGTATTTCCAAATTCATTTCATCCGTCTTTTGTTTCTGTTCTTTTTTTCTCACTCTAATAATTAAATTTAAATTAATTCCTAGAATATTTTTTAATTTTTTTTTATTAATTTTTTCTTCAACCCTCAATTTCTGTTTCTAATTTCAAATTATTTTTTTATTAGTACTTTTTTGTTTAAAAAATGTTCCTCTCTTTCATTTCCTTTGTTTTAGATGTTTTCATTTGTTTTTTTTTTTTTTTGCTTTTTGTTGCTTTATTTTTTTATTTTGTTTTTGTTTTCAAAACACATTTTTAATATCACAATTTTGCTGAGGATAACAAATTGAGATAAAAAACGAATCAAAATGTTGCTTCGCAACACTTTTGATTCCTTTTTTTCTCAATTTGATATTCCTTAGGAAAAATTGTGATAATAAAATATGAAGTTAACGGAAAATTGAAATTATAAAAATTTTAATTCACGGGGTAAAATTGTTTCGAAAACGGTATAAAACTGCAAGAAATTCGACAATCCTTGTTTCGACTTTCTTTTTTTTGATTCTTTTTTAATTTGTCTTGGTGAATACTTTATTCAAATATAAAGTTACTGTTAAATACTATAACTTAAATGAACTTAAATTCACGGGGTAAAATTGTTTAGAAATCGGGGTAAGATTGTAAAGAATTCGATAATCTACATTTTGATCTACTTTTTTTGTCTTTTTTTTGGTGAACATTATTAAAACATAAAATATTGTTATAAATCCTACAGCTTGCGTGAATTTTTTAATTCCCGGGGTACTATTGTTTCGAAATCGGGGTAATATTGTAAGTAATACGATAATCTTTGTTTTAATTTACTTTTTATTGTTTTTTTCCTTTTTGTCAAACTTAAGTAATATAAATAATGTTGTTATTAAATACTGAAACTTGTATGAAACTTAATTCGTGGGGTAATATTGTTTCGTGATCGGGGTAAAACTGTAAAGAATTCTATAATCTTTGTTTTGTTTCGGCAAACCTAATTATTTGTTTTTCTTATAATTATATTAATAATTAATTCAAATATAAAGTTGTCATTAAATACAACAGCTTGAATGAAATATTTAATTCGCGGGGTAATATTTTTCTTAAAATCGGGGTAAAACTGTAATGAATTCCATAATCTTTCTTTTGTTTCGCTTTTTTGTCTTCACAAATTTAATTAAAATATAAAGTTGTAATTAAAAATTGCTGTTTATATCGAATTTTTAATTTGCGGGGTAATATTGTCTCGACATCGGGGTAAAACTGCCAGGAATTCTATAATCCATGATTCGATTTATTTTTTTTTGTTTTCCTCTTTTTTTGTTATCACAAACTTTATTGAAATATAAAGTTGTTGTTAAGTACATAAAGCTTGATTAAAATGTTTAATTCGCGGGGTAATATTGTTATGAAAAATCGGGGTAAAACTGTAAGAATTCCAAAGTCTTTCTTTTGTTTCGCTCTTTTTGTATTAACAAACTTTAGTCAAACATATATTTGTTATTAAATAGTACAGATTGTAAAACTTTTAATTCGCGGGGTAAGATTGTTTCGTAATCGGGGTAAAACTGTAATGAATTCGATATTCATTCTGTTTTTCTTCTCTTTCGTATTTTTTTTGATATTTTTTTGTTTTTTTTTGTTCTGTCAAACTTTATTAAAATATGAAGTTGTTATTAAATACTAAAGCTTGTGGATTTCATTTCAGAAGCGTATATAAAATGGAACGGATGGAGGGGAACTTTTGATGAAGGGCAAGAGGAAGGGAAAAATGCCGGCTGGCAAGCAGATGGTTGCTCCGTTTATTGGTTTATTCTATGTCCAACCCGACTAAAGTTCTTTTGTGTCGAAGAGAGAAGGAAAAAGAGAAAGAGAGAAGAAGAGAGCTTAACAGCATCAACTCGAAACGACAATGTTTCGCGCCATCGTTGAAACGACCGAGGGAGAGAAGTTCATTCACGACGTAAGTCATCGCGTAAAAACGAGTTACTGTTATAATCTTCTATATGCTAAATACAATTTACAATTCGCCAAACAATTTCAACTCCTGATATAGAATAAAATTGCAAATATAAAAAATTTATATATAATCTATAATTTCGAAAAAATTTTAATAATTCAAATTCTTCTGAAATCAGTTACATTTTTTAATATATATTTAATTAATTATTAAAAGTAATGAATTTATAAAAGAATTTTATAGTTAAAAACACTAAAAACAATTGAATTTTGGAGAAGTTACAAACGAATGCAGAAATTCAATTATATTTTAAAAGTAATAAAATTCTTCCCAAAAATTTAATTATGTTCAAACAATTTTAAAATCTTAGTCAAAATTTCAATTATCATTATAAATAATAAAATTCTTCTCTGAAATTCAATTATTTTCGGAAATTTTAATAAAATTCTTAGCAAAATTTCAATTATTTTCAAAAATTTTTCTTAATTCAATGATTTTCAATAACTACTATTTTAGTAACTTTTTCCAAAAGAATTCAATTATTTAAAAAAATTGTTTGATAAAATTCTACTCAAACATTTATTACATTCTCGTAAAAATTTCAATTATCTTTATAAATAATAAAATTCTTCTTGAGAATTAAATTTTTTCAATACAATTTTAATAAAATTTCTCGAAAGGATTCAATTATTTTTAAAAATTTTAATGATATTCTTTGAAATAATTCAATTACTTTCAAAAGTTTTTAATAAAAATATTTATAAAGTATTAAATCAGTTTCAATTTTAACCAAATTCCTTTAAAGAATTGAATTATTTTTAAGAATTTTAATAAAATTCTTCGTAAAAATTAATCATTATCAAAAATTTTAATAAAATTCTTCTTAAAAATTAATTATTTTTAAAAACTTTATTAAATTCTTGTCAAGAATTCAATTATTTTAATAAGTAACAAAATTCTTCGCTTGAATTAAATTATTTTCAAAAATTGTATTGAAATTCTCCACAAAAATTCAATTATTTTAATAAATAATACAATTTTTCGTAAAAATTCAATTATTACCAAAAAATTTATTAAAATTCTTATCAAGAATTCAATTATTTTAATAAAAAAAAAATTCTTGGCTTTAATTAAATCATTTTCAAAAATTTCATTAAAATTCTTGACAAAAATTCAATTATTTTTCAAAATTTTTATTACAACTTTGGACTGAATTTAATGAAATCTTCATAAATAATAAAATTCTTTGCAGAAATTCAATTATCATCCTAATTTTTAGTAAAATTATTCGCAAAAATTCAATTATTTTCAATTCCAATTTAATGGAATTTCTCTACAAGATTAAATTATTTTTAAAAAATTTAATGAAATTCTTTGAATCAATTCAATTACTTTCAAAAGACTTTAATAAAAATCTTTATAAAAACCTAAATCAGTTTCAATTTTAATAAAACTACTTTAAAGAATTGAATTATTTTCAAGAATTAATCTGTTATCTTTAATTATTATTATAAAACATGAAGAAATCGATCACTATTAATAATAATTAAATATTTATTTAAAAAATAATTCATAATTTTTTAACAATTAACAATGTTCTATTTTTTATAAATAAAAAGGAGAAAATTTTGCATATTTTAGATCAGTCAAACAAAATTTGTTATAGAAAAAAGAATAATAATCAAAATGGGTATATTTTTTATTTGTAAATCATAATTTTTTTTCAATTTTCTAATATTATTTTATTATAAATCGTGAACATTTACCTGCATATTTTCGATTTGTCAAACAATATTTTTTAAAGAAAAAAAAACTTCAAACTGAGGACAGAGAGAATGAATTAATGAAAGAGAAAATTATCAGATTATTATAGTTGTTTTTTATTTTTCCAGAAGAAAGAAAGAAGAGAAAAGAAGAGGTAAACTGCAAATTGCTTAAGGATCTTAGGAGGAAAAATCACGAGCTCCATTATGAAGAACGTCGACGAAAAAGTTGAAATAATTTTTTTTTTCCTCATATATACAAGAGAAGAAATAAAAATACGTCCATAATGGCGTCGTCTTTCGTTGGACGTCGAGACGGGATCGATAAAGAGGGGTGTATGGTCTGCAAAATTCAAACCTAAAAGGCAACCCCTTTTATATTTCACCCTCGTAATCTTGCCACCAGTCGTTGAAAGCATCTCGCACAAAATGGATTAACATTCATCCCAAAAAGGGCGCAAATATACAAACTCTAAGTAAGTGTTATTCCAATGCGCCTCATTCCGCAGCAACACATTCACAAAAATATACATATTCTCTCCAAAAAGAAAAAGAAAAAGAAAATTTCACCCTTTTTAAATAAGATATGTTTTGACTTTTGGCAAAAGTCAAGGATCAAAAATAACACGATGAAAGGCGATTTCATAGTCTCTGCGAAAGTCTTAGGGATACGTTTAAACGGATTAACAGCGGATTTGTAATTTTTATTTTTGACTTCCAAGCTGAGACTAATTTGACTTTTGGGACTTTGGTTTTGTTTGAGGGAGGGGTAAAATTAGCCTAATCCTTAAATAGGATTAAAATTTTTAAATAGGATTACAAGAAGGTAGTTTGTCCGCATCCGACGAGTAGTGGTCGGTAAAGTCAATGTTTTCAAAAGCGTCAAGAAGAAACGAGGCGGGAAATAAGATTGTGCGATGTTTCCTTCTGTTTTCTAGTTTCTACACCTGAACCCGCAGTCGGTATATAATTTCTGAATGGAATGACACGCTTCTTAGGAGGAGATTAACGAAAACTCGACAATGAGAGAGAGAGAGAATAATGTTTCTTTATCTTAAAAAAAAATTATCGAAAACAATTTTTAACATTTTTGCGAAATTCAAAATTGAGACTTTGATGAAAAATCGATCATTTCGATTTCATAGTTATTCTGCAGATATAAAAAAAAGAACAAAAAAAAAAAAAAAAAAGAAAACGAATCAAAAATGTTTCATCATCAATGATATCAGAAATTCAATTATTTTCAAAAATAATAAAATTGTTTGCCAAAATTGAATTATCTTCAAAAACTTTTAAAGACATTCCGTAAAAATTTCAATTATCTTTATAAATAATAAAATTCTTCTTGAGAATTCAATTTTTTCAATACAATTTTCATTAAATTTCTCGAAAAGATTCAATTATTTTTAAAAAGTTTTAATAAAATTTTCAGATAGAATTAAATTATTTTGAATAATTTTGATAAAATTGTTTTTAAAGAATTCAATAAACAATTTTAATTGAATTCCATTAAAAAATCGAATTATATTCAAAAATTTTAATATATAATTCAGCGAAAAAATTCAATTAATTTCAAAAAATTTGCTCAAGAATTCAATTAATAAGTAACAAAATTCTTCACTGAAATTCAATTATTTTCGAAAATGGTATTAAAAATCTTGGCAAGAATTCAATAATTTTTCATAATTTTTATTACACTCTTGACCAGAATTCAATTATTTCCAGAAATATAACAAAATTCTTCACAAAAATTTAATTATTTTTCAAAATTTTTATAACATTCTTGGCTAGAATTCAATTATTATCATAATTTTTAGTAAAATTATTCGCAAAAATTCAATTATTTTCAATACAATTTTAATGAATTTTTTCGTCAATATTTAACAAGCAACACTGTTACTTAAATCAATTGAAACAGAAAAAAATTTCTCTCATTAGAATTTCAAATTGTTTTCTATTCCTATATAGATGTTTTCACCCTAATGTAATACTTTAGGAAACAATAGATCTTGGAAAGACTAAATTTTTTGTTGAATTATTTAAAAGAACATTCTGCAAACATTATGTAAATTTAGAGTAAAAAGGTTTTAAAGTGACATTATATCAGAGTAATAAGAATACATATAAAAATTCACTGCGATAATTAAATCCGAACAAAAACATCTTTGATGCAAAAAATTCCGCCAAGTAAAAGTTTTTGTAATTGTTCAAATAATTACCGAAATAAAAGCTTACTAAGTAAAATTTATAACTAAAGTTTTTATATTCATTTATTTTATTAATTTTAACTAATTAGATTTACGAATTAAGCAAAAAAATGTTATCTAATTATTCGTCTTTATAAAAAATTTCTATATTTAAGGCAATTTTAAAATCTTGGCGTCAATAGTTTTTCTAAAGTTATAATTGATGAAAGTATTGACGCCAAGATTTTAAAATTTTCTTAAATAGAAATTTTTCTCTAAAGACGAATATGTAGATTTAATTTTTTGCTTATGTTAAACATGAAGTTAAATTTCATAAATTATTTGTTACGATCCAAAATATAACGTGAAACATTGACTTAATTCGTAAATCTAATAAGTAAAATTAATAAAATAAATCAATATAAAAACTTTAGTTATAAATTCTACTTGGTAAACTTTTATTTCAGTAATTGTTTGGACAATTACAGAAACTTTTACTTGGCGGAATTTTTTTCATCAAAGATGTTTTGTTGGGACTTTAAGAATAAAGAATTTAATGCATAAAAACTAAAATTTCTTAATAGTACAATTAATTATAGTTATTAATAGTAATAAAATTAAATTGCAATCCAATTTTATTTTTATAAAAAAAAATTTGAATTATATTAATTTTACTATCTACTATTAATATTGTTATATTTTTTATTATTTATTTTATTATTATTATTATTATTATTATTATTATTATTATTTACTTTAGAATTTAGGGACAATATGATAAAAAATAAATAATAAAAAATAAATAATAAAAAATAATAAGTTAATAATAGAAGAAAACAATAAAATAGCAAAATATTAAGGAAAGAAAAGATATTACAAAATACTAAAGAAGGAAAAAATAATACCAAATGAGCAAAAAAGGAAAACAAAAACAAAAAATAGTAAAATTAGAGATAAAATAACAAAATAATACAAAAAAAGAGAAACAATAAAATAACAAGATAGTAAAAAAGGAAAATAATAACAAAAAAATAGTAAAAATGAAGGAAAAATAATAAAACAGAAACAATAAAATAACAAAATAGTAAGAAAGAAAAAAATAATAACAAAGTAGAAAAAAGGAAAGAATAATACCAAAATTGTAAAAAAAGGAAAACAATAACAAAATACTAGTAAAAATGGCAAAAAAAACAAAAGAACAATAAAATAAACAATAAAACAATAAGAATAAAATAACAAACTAGTAAAAAAAGAAAATAATAATAACGCAATAGTAAAACAAAATATTAACAAAATAAAATAAGAAAAAAAATAAAAAAACAGGAATTGTAAAAAAAAATAATTTTTAATAAATAAAAAGTATCTTGAAACGAAATTTTATAAAATTTTGAAACAATTTTCAATTTCAATTTCAAATTTTAAAAACATTGTCTTAAAATATATACAAAATAATAATTTCTACTAATTATAAGGATTATTTTTTTTTTCTGTATGAACTTTATAAATTCGTCACAATGTCAGACAAATTGATACTGGAGACAAGTAGATAATATGCGCTTTATAATGGCATCACTTTTTTTTGCGATAGAAATCAATTTGTCCGATTAAAACGGAGAATTTCACCGCCCACGTTACATGTCATCAAGTAATTAATGAATCTCATGACTTCAGATAAGGAAGAACAAAATCCTTTTATGCATTTCGCAAGAATTCAACTTTTATAATATTGCACAATCCCCATATCATTCTGTCATCGCATCATTATCATTTTATGCAGAAAAATTTTTTTTTTTCTTGCAAAATTTTATCCTATATTCATATAGTTTCAGATAATAATGAAAATTTAATTTTTCTTTCAGGATTATGTGCAGAAACAAGCAGTAAAATATGTATAAAAGAACAAAGGATGGAATCGTATTAAGTTTAAAAAAGGAAAAAAAGAAAACGAATAAAAAATGATTTTTTTTTGTAGGAGAAACAAAAAATTGGTAAAGTAAGAGTTTCTTTTGTTTTAAAAACATTTTTTTAGAAATATTAGATGATTTGTCACTTATTGGCACTGTTCCCCAACTAATAACTTTAAAAATTATTTTCAAATCTGCTTCAAACTTTTGAACAAGTAATGTTTATTGTGTTTTTTATTAATATCATAATTAAAAAATTTTTTTTTAACAAAGAATTGTTATTTAATTTAGTCTTTCTAAGAATATCAAATTGAGACGAAAAACGAATCAAAACGTTGCTTCGCAACACTTTTGATTCGTTTTTTGTCTCAATTTGATATCTTTAGAAAAACTGTTAGAAAAAGATTAAAAATAATTTTTTTTTATTTTTCTTTTAAAAAATAGTCGGTTTTGAAATCCATACGAAATTTTTCCCGAAAATTTAATTTTGAATTCACAAACAAATTGCCAAACAAAAAAATTGATTTTTATAATTTTTGAAGCATTTTAAAAAAGAAACTTTAGTTTTAGGACAAAAATGCTAAAAAATTCAATAATTAAATATTTGTTATTCAATTTTTTTATTTGAAAATTTATTTGTTTATTTTTCTAACTAATGTCAGATCATAAATCTTATATATAAAAGAAAAAAAATTTTTTTAAATTATAAAATTATTATCTGAAAGGTAGAAAAATAAACGAATCAATTTTCAAATTAAAAAATGAATAATAATGTTTTTTTAAACATTTTTAGCGTAAAAATAAAGTTTTTTTTAAAAATGCTTTAAAAATTATAAAAATCAATTTTTTTCATTTGACAATTGAGTGCTTGGATACAACAAGGGGACGTACGCTCGGCGAGCCGTTTTAAAGTCAGTCAAAGGTACCGTAAAGTGTAAAAAATGAAAATTCAAAATTTTGAATTTTGAAAACTGCCATCTTATAGGAAATAAAAATGCGCATCTTTTTTTTCTTTGAAATTTCTTTGAATAATTAATATTTTTATATGATAATGGAAAAAATGTGATTAATTTTCAATGTTAAATTTCATTGAATTTTAAAATATAAATCGTCGTATCTCCGACAAAAATTAATGAATTCTTTTGCTTTTTGGAATACAAATGCATTTGGACCTATAGAAGACGACAATATCACGAAAATGTTAAAAGCAATTAATTGTTTATTGATTTTTAATTGTTAATACTGACCGGTCAAAAATAATTTTTTCTTATCTTTGGCTGCAAAAAGTATGCGGGGAACTTTAAAATTCAAACAACTTCCAGTGAGACATTTGTTTATTACGATGTGAAGAAGTTTTCTGTAAAATTGCAGAAAGATTAGTTTTATATTTACAGAAATACAATAGTTTTAAGAAAAATGCTCGCGCCGCCAACGATCCCTACCGCACAGATTTTAAGGTTAGTTGCACGGTAAAGTTTTATTTATGTATAAATATATGTGTGTAATATTTGCATTGAATTATTTATTAACTATTACATACTATACATCATAGGTATACACTTTTTTAATAATTTTGTAAAATATTATGTGTATGAATATAAATATTACAAATAATTCTAGCAGTATTTAATTAAATTAAGATTAATATCTGTGTTAAAAGAAATGTTTTTATTTTAAACATTATTAAATTTATAAAACGTTTTTAGATGTTAATATTATTGTTTAAAAACTAGGAAAAATTTTTATTTTAAACAATTTTTGACAATTGTGATATTTTGAACTATTATATTATTTTAATAGATATTATTAGATTATACTAGATTCAACATAGTATGTAATTAAAAAGGACATTAAGTGTTGTTGCAGCATATTGAGTAATAGTTTTAATACATTATAGAGTCGATAAAAATTGAGTTGTAAATAAACGATATACTAACAAAAATAAATATCAGAAATAATCTTAATTTAATTAAATATTGCTAGAAATATTACACACATATATTTATACATAAATAAAACTTTACCGTGCAACTAACCTTAAAATCTGTGCGGTAGGGATCGTTGGCGGCGCGAGCATTTTTCTTAAAACTATTGTATTTCTGTAAATATAAAACTAATCTTTCTGCAATTTTACAGAAAACTTCTTCACATCGTAATAAACAAATGTCTCACTGGAAGTTGTTTGAATTTTAAAGTTCCCCGCATACTTTTTGCAGCCAAAGATAAGAAAAAATTATTTTTGACCGGTCAGTATTAACAATTAAAAATCAATAAACAATTAATTGCTTTTAACATTTTCGTGATATTGTCGTCTTCTATAGGTCCAAATGCATTTGTATACCAAAAATCAAAAGAATTCATTCATTTTTGTCGGAGATACGACGATTTATATTTTAAAATTCAATGAAATTTAACATTGAAAATTAATCACATTTTTTCCATTATCATATAAAAATATTAATTATTCAAAGAAATTTCAAAGAAAAAAAAGATGCGCATTTTTATTTCCTATAAGATGGCAGTTTTCAAAATTCAAAATTTTGAATTTTCATTTTTTACACTTTACGGTACCTTTGACTGACTTTAAAGCGGCTCGCCGAGCGTACGTCCCCTTTTGTATCCAAGCACTCAATTTTTATTGGGTTCAAAAAAATATTTTCCACAAAATTACGCACTAATTTAAAAATCTAAAAAAATTTTAAACAAAATAAAAATTCAAAAAGGGTTAAAATATTTCCCGAACCCTTTTATTTTATATGACCATTAAATTGCCCACAAAAAACATTTTTGATTCCTTTTTTGTCTCAATTTGAAATCCTTAGAAAAACTAAAGAAAAACTTTTCCTTAGAAAAGCTGAAAATGTATTTTTTTTATTTATTTAAAAAAAATAGTCGATTTTGATATCCACACATAATTTTGTAGAAAATGTGTTTTTGAATCCAGAAAGAAATTGTCAAAAAAATTGATTTTTATAATTTTTGTAACATTTTTTGGAAAAAAAATTTAATTTTAGGCCAAAAATGCTAAAAAAATTCAATTTTTCTATTTGAAAATTTATTTGTTTATTTTTCTAACTTAATAAAAACTAAATTTAATAAAAAGTTTTAAAAAATTATAAAATTATTATCTGAAAGTTAGATAAATAAACGAATCAATTTTTAAATAAAAAAGTGAATAATAATTTTTTTTAACATTTTCAGCTTAAAACTAAATTTTTTTTTTAAATACTTAAAAAATTATAAAAATCAATTTTTTTTGGTTTCAAAAAAATATTTTCTTTTAAATTACGTACTAATTTTAAAATCTACCAATTTTTAAGCAATACAAAAATTATAAAAGGGATTGAATATTTACAAAAAAATTACCTCAAAAATAATGTTATGTAATATTTAAATTAATTTAATTTACATTAATTTAAAATAATTTAAATAAATTTTAATTTAAACTTTGACTATAACTACATGCATTTTTAACTGCTTTAAGAATAAATCTTCTATAAAATTGTTTTTACAGTAATTTTTTGAGAGGAAATCAATGTTTAGAAAATTAATTAGGTCAGAAAATATTATGACCTTTTATAGATTTTTTATTTTTTTTTAAAATTGATAGATTTTAAAATCCATCCCTAATTTTGTAGAAAATATATTTTTGTATCTCCAAAAAAATTACCGAATGAAAAAATTAATTTTTACAATTTTTGAAGCATTTTCTTATTAAAAAAATCTTTGTTTTTAGGTTGAAAATGCTAAAAAATACCAAAAAATACCACTGTTGTTTAATTTTTTAATTTGAAAATTCACTTGTTTATTTTGCTAACTAATTTCAAATTATAGTTTTATAAAATAGAAAATATAAAAACATTATGATAGGTAATATTATAATTTGAAATTAGAAAAATAAATAAGTGAATTTCCATTCAAAAAAATTGAATAACAATGGTTTTTTTTATCATTTAAAAAAACAATGTTTTCTTTTCAAAAAAATTCTTCAAAAATTAAAAAAATCAATTTTTTTATTCTGTAATTTTTTATGGACACAAAAACATTTTCTACAAAATTACAGATGAATTTTAAAATCTACCAATTTTTAAGAAAAATATAAATCCAAAAAGGGTCAGAATATATTTTGACTAATTTTATTTTTTGACCATTCATTTCTTCTCAAGAAATTACTATAAGAATAATTTTATAGAAGATTTAAATCATTTTCTTGGTGTAGTTAAAAGTTTAGTTAAATGAAGCTAAAATAACAATAAAATAATTATTTTCAAGCTTTATTAAAAAATATCTACACAGAAAAATTTCAAAAATATTAATTTTCAAAAAAAAAATAATTACCGTAGTTGAAAGTTTACCACTTCGGAGAGAATCACTTATAATAGAATAATATACCTACCTAATAATATTAATTAATTATTATTATTATTATTCTATTAATAAGAAATAAAATATAAAATTAATACAAAAACAATGAAAACATAAAATTAATAAAAATATTTTTTCCTCTCAAGACAGAAAAAAGAAAGAAGTAGAAAAAAAAATTATATATAGATTTAAACAAAAAGTAGAAAAAAATTAGAGAAAAAACGTAATTTCAGGTGAAAAGGAGATAAAAATACGTATTGTTTGAAGAAAAGGATTGAGGCTGATGAAAAAGCACAGTGGCCAAGTAACCTGAACTAATGCAGAGTGTATTGGTGATGTGTATATGACTGACAAAATAGAAATGAAAGAAGTTGTACCGCTAACAACAATAAGAGGAGAACGCGTCCTTGCAGCAATCAGCTTTGTCATCCTTGATCCGTTAACGCTCAGATGGTTCGCGTATCAATCACTATCGGTAGTTGAGACAGATCGTTCAGGTGTAAAAGATAATCACAGCCCACCACGAAGATAACCAGGAGAATGATACCGCACACACGCACAGCCTCCTTAAAATTTGATTGACGTAACAAGATTTATCGTCACGAATTTTTCAAACCTGCATTTTGTAAAATTAGAGCAACGCCCAATCATTCAGGTATATACATTAATATTAGATATTTATCGATCTTTTGTCTCTCTATTGTGTGGGAATTATTGTCAAACTCATTTTTTATTTTTTTTAAGACAGTGAAAATAATTTCTCATTGTCTCACACTCTCACTGTGAATTTTCTCTTCCTTATTCACTCTGAGGGATTTTTTATTTAAATCGAATAAATTTTACTTCGAAAGAAAATTGCACTAAAAAAAAGTTATTTGATTTAAATAACCGATTACTTGACTGCTATCAATTAAATATTTAATTGATAAACATTTAAATAATTAATTTAATTATTATTATAATAATTAATATTTAAATAATATTTATTGGAGTCAATTAAATGGTATTTGCTTAAAATACTGAAATTATTGGTTCAAATACCATTTAATTGACTCCAATAAATATAATTTGATTGAAGTAAATATTTAATTGATATAGTAGCCAATTAATTGGTTATTTGAATCAAATAAATTTTTTTCAGTGTAGAATAGAAATTTAATAATGCAGATAAAATTTGAAAGTTGAACGTTAAAGTAATAAGACAGAAAAAAAGAAGAAAGTTGGAAGTTTCGGAAGTTAAAGTTTTGAACGTTCAAATAAACGAAATTTATTTATTTCTTCTTCAAATTAAATTTTTATTACTATAATATTTTGCGTCACTATTAAGCACATTAATTATGTTTCAAAATGTAAAATTTTAGTTTTTAATTTGAATTGTAATGAATAATCTATGAAAATATTTTTAACAAAAAATTTTCGTTCATTTGAACGTTCAAAACTTTTTTTTCATATAAAATTAAAGAATTTTTGTTGTAAAATATTAAAGAATTTTCTCTTAGAAAAAAATTTAATTGAATTCATTTAATTTAAATTAATGATTGAACTTGATTTCATATTTATTTCAAAGACACAAATAATTTCTCTATTTGAAACATAACTTTCATTAAGTCAATTATTGTATTATTTGTGGTAATTATTTGTGTTAATAAATTTAAATTCAGATTTATTTGAAACAGTTCTTCGAATGGAAATGAAAAATAATAATTTTCCAGAGAATATGTTTATTTGTAAATATAGAAAAATTTTCTATGTGAATTTCAAATACGATCATCTTTGAAAATTGAAAAATTTTTACGTTTGTAAAATTCACAATGTTTATGATCAACGATAGAAAAAAAAAAATTTTTCTTTACGAAAACAAAAATGTTTTGTTTACAAATGTTTTTTGCAAATTAAAGATAAAAAAACTATAAAAAATATTTTTTGTGCAAAAATATATAAAAATTTAAAAAGAAAAATATTTTTTTTCTATATCGTTGATTATAAACGTTGTGAACTTCATCAAAGTAAATTTAAAAACAGTTTACAAAAAAAAGTAAAAAATTTTTGTTGTAAACTTTCTATAAAGCATGTTTGCTAGAAAAATTTCAATTTTTCTAGTAAACATGTTTTATTGAAGTTTACAACAAAATTTTTTTAATTTTTAAAAATAAGTTTCAAACAAAAGTTAAAAACAAAAATGTTTTAATACTCAAATGAAAATGTTTGAAATTAACAAAAAAATGCTTCAATTTAAAAATTTATTTTGTAAATTTCAAACATGTTTGTTTAAAATTCAAAAAATTTTTGTTGAATGAAATCCAAATAGTTTTCTGAAAAAAGTATTACATTTTTGTTTGATAGTACCAGTAAAATATGTTTATTTTAAAAATTGAAATTTTTCTTTTGGTAAATTTTAAATAGTTTCCTAAAAAAATACAAACAATTTTGTTGTGAATTACAATTAAACAATTTTTTTAAATTGAAACATTTCTTTGTAAATTACAAACATGTTTATTTAAGTAGGTATTAAAACATTTTTCTTTTAACTTTTTAACTTTGGTTTAAAACTTATTTTAAAAAATTAAATAATTTTTGTTATTAACTTTCAATGAAACATGTTTGCAAGAAAAATTAAAATATTTTTTTTTTGTAAATTTTAAACATGTTTATTAAAAAATTAAAATATTTTTGTTGTGTAAATTTCGAACAATCTTTTAAATAAATTCAAACATTTTTTTGTGAATTTCAATTAAACATGTTTTTTGGGAAATTGAAACATTTTTTTATAAATTCCAAAAAGTTTTTAACTTTTTTTTGAAACTTTTTTTTAAAAACAAAATAATTTTTGGAAATTTCGAATGAAACATGTTTTTTTTTAAAATGGAAACAATTTTGTTTCTGGATTTCAAAGATGTTGATTTAAAAATTCCAATACTCTTGTTGTCTTAGTTTAAAAGTTTGGAAACAAACATTTTTCATTAAAAAAAATAGTGATATTTTTGTTTTCGTAATTTTTAAACATATTTTTTTCAAACTTAAATATTTTTGTTTTCAATTGCAAACATGTTTCTTTGAAATTTGAAACATTTTTGCTGTTATGTTAAATTTTAATGTTTCTGATGTAAAGTGTTAAATATTTTTGTTGTAAATCCTTCAAATTTTTTGTTCGTTAATTTAAAAATATTTTCGTAAATTTTTAGTAAATTTTATCTAAAATCTTTATTACTTAAAACATTTTTTCTTCTTTCTTTTTTGCAAATTTCATACACTTTTGTTGTACACTGAAGAAAAATTTATTCGATACGATTACTTGTCTGTTATCAAATAAATATTTACTTGAATCAAACAATTTTTTATTTAAATTACTTAAATGGTCTTTGTCTCAAATACTGAAATTATTGAGTAAATTATAATTTAATTGAATAGTTTAGAAAGGAATTTATCGATCACTCCGAGTCAGGTTGTTTAATTTAATTGACTAAAATAAAAATTATTTGATTCAAGTAAATATTTATTTGATAGACAAGTAATTGGTTCTTTAAATCAAATAATTTTTTTTTCAGTGTAAAATACAAATAAAATACCTTTTTCTATAGTAAGTCAGGAAGGAAATACAAAAAATACAAGACAAATTAATAATAAAAATTTTCTTTACAGAAAAATGCATAATGAAAACCGTCGCTTAACAAGAAGACACTGGGCCAAGAAAGAAGTTAAAAATCGAAATGGAAAAGAATGTGTGCGTGAGAGAAGGCCCAGTTAATGCTCTACATCTACCCTGTAGATCCGAATTTGTTTGATAACAGGCGACAAATTCGGTTCTAGAGAGGTTTGTGTGGTGCATACAATGCTACAAAGGTCTCGTACAATGTACAATGCTCTCAAGGCACAAAAGAAGAAATAAAAGGGAGGATTCTTCAATTCTTCAATTCAAGAATGGCAACAACCCTTTTTTCGAACTAAACGAGTCGTTTTAATCAATTACGTTTACATTATTATTATGAAATTATATAATAATTATTATAATAGTATTATATTTATTAATTATAAATATAATAATATATAATAATAATATATAATAATAAATTATAATTATAATCGAATTATAATCTAAGGAATTACAATTATTATTATAGAATTATAGTTAAAGAATTATAATTATTATTATGGAACTATAATCTAATTATTTTGATGAATATTAATATTAAAATTTGTACCATTCTGGTTATGATTTACCATTCTCTTCAATCGATTTTAGTAACTTTTCATATTCTCGATGTTGAATACAAAAAATATTAAAACTTAAACCAGAAAAAATTATTTTTTGTCAAATCTTTCTTTTTCTCTTCAAACCAAAAAGCTTTGCCTTTTTAATCAACTATAAAGTTTTTTTGCTTCAAAATAAATTTGAAGAAAGGAAAAAATACTGTTATGATCAATTATTGGTATTGTACTAAAAATCAATTTTACTTTTTTTTTACATTTTTCTTTACTAGTGAAAAATTAAAATTTACAGCATTGTGTAATTTTTTTTTTCAAATAACGTTCTGGAAAAAAAACTATTGAATAATAACTATTTAAATAATTATTATTCTGTATAATATTGAGAAATAATAAAAATAAGTAATATTAAACAAATAAATAAAATCTTCATTCGTGATTAAAATTCTCAATCAGGGAAAAATTTCAACATTAAATAAATAAAAAATAAAGAATAAGGAATAAATAATAAATACTACTTTTGTTAACAAGAAAAAAGTATAGAAATAGTATAGAAATTCAATAGAGAAAATATTCATAATGATTACCTAAATAGACAAAACTAAATTACTTCAAGTTCAAAAAAAATTAGAAAAGTTAATTTAAATTCGTTACATTCTCATGTTTTATTAATTTAAATTATTAAACGTTATTAATTTAAAATCATTAGAGATTATTAATTTAAATTCATTAAAGATTATTAATTTAAATTCATTAAACATATTAGTAATTTAAATTCATTGAATATTATTAATTTAAATTCATTAAACTTTATATATTCTACATACATTCTGTCATTATATACATATACCTAACAAAATATATTGAAAACAAAAAAAACAATTTATTAAAATCATGAAAAAATATCCAATTATTGAAAAAAGAGAAACATTTTATTGAAAAAAATACATAAAAAGCCAACGAGAAAAAAAACTAACCATTTATTAAAAATAAATTTACCATTTCATTATTAATTGTGGGTTAAGATCAGTTTCAAAGAAAAGAAAAATTGATGAGGAAATAAATATCTTTGCTAGACAGGTATTCAAGGTATTTTTATTATATCTTCTAATATAATAACTTTCCCTTGGAACGTTTATTAACACAGAAGAGATTTCGTCCTCAAAAAGAGTCGAACGCGGCTTTCCACTGCCGCTGCGGAGAAAAATTAAAAATGCAATGGAAAAAGAAAAAAGAAAGAAAAAGAAGATGAAGAAGAAGAAGAAGAAGAAGAAGAAGAAATATCAAAGAACAAACCATTAATTTTGTGGAGTCGGTTGCATCCGTGACGAGGTGCTGCCAATGATGAACCGAGTTATGACTTGTGACCCATTGCACATCTCCTGACACATGTCCATTAAATATATACATATATTCACATCTACAGACAGATTTCTATGCATCTAACCGAGAAGAATAGTCTCCCAATGAAGAATATTGAGTAAAATGTAATTGCACTTCGTAACAATATTATCAAAAAAAAAAAAAATAAATAAAGATTCGAAGAGAATATACAAAGATAAAATTCTAAGAGAATTCAGAAAAAAATAAACAAATTCGTAGGTTATAGTTTAATTTTCAGAAACAAAAGAAACACAAATGAAGACAGTGAAATGTGAGTGAAATATAGGACCAAATTCACAAATATCAAAAAAGGAAAAAAATGTACTTAATTAATAAAAATGTTGATCCTGATTATGACGATCACAAAAAAAAAGAAATTAAAAAAATTTAAATTTATTTTAAAAAAATTTTTTTTATTTTTGAATTAAAATTTTAAAACCTTTATTTTTACAAAATGAAACATTTTTAAGCTTTTAAATTTTAAATTCGTAGATTTGTAAATCCATGGGTAATTTTGTAAACAATATGTTTTTAAATTCACAAAAAAAAATTGCCAAATATAAAAATTGATTTAATAATTTTTTAAGCATTTTTTTCAATAAAAATCTTTCTTTTTTGGCTGAAATTACTAAAAAATACTAAATACTATAAAAATGCTGAAATTAGATTCAATTTTCTTATATAAAAATTCAATTGTTTATTTTTTTAACTAAATTCAGATCATAATTTTTATAAACAAAAGATAAAAATTATTAAAAAAATATGATATGTAAAATTATAGTCTGGAATTAGAGAAATAAAGAAATGAATTTTCAAATAAAAAAATTGAATAATAATTATAATTTTTAGCATTTTTAGCCTAAAAACAAAGATTTTGTTTAAAAAAAAAAATGTTTGAAAAATTAGGAAAATAAATTTTTTCATTTAGCAATTTTTTTGTGGATTCAAAAAAAATATTTTCTACAAAATTACGTATGGAAATCAAAATTCGCCAATTTTTAAGTAAAATAAAAATTTAAAAAGTAGGATCAAAATATTGTCTAACCGATTATATTTTTTAGATCATTGAATAATAAATATATAAAATATATATATACATATATTTTAATATCTTTAAAATTTTTGAAAATAATTAAATTCTTTCAAGAAATTTAAGAAAATAATTAATAAATTCTGTAAAAAAATTTATCAAAATTTTTTGTAAATAATTGAACTTGTTCAAAGAATTTTAATAAATTCTTTAAGATCGATTGCATTTTTCGAGAAATTATTTAAAAATTTTATTAAAAATAATTGAAATTCTGCGATGAGTTTTATTATTTATGAAAATAATAAAATTTTTGCAACAAATTTTATTAAAATTTGTAAAAATGATTGAATTCATAAGAAGAATTTTATTATTTATAAAAATAATTGAATGCTTGCGAAGAAATTGTTATAAAAATTTTTTTAAACAATTGATTTTTGTCGAAAAATTTCGTGAAAATTAACAGCTTACATGTAAATAAAAAAAAATTTAAATTAAATACTTTCAAAGAATTTTAATGAAATTTTTAAGAATTAAATTTTTTAAGGAATTAAATTAAAATTGTTTTAGAAATAATTGAAATTCTAAGATGAGTTTTATTATTATGAAAATAATTGAATTCTTGAAACAAATTCTATTAACATTTTTAAAAGTAATTGAATTCCTAAGAAAAATTTCATTATTTATAAAAATAATTGAATGCTTGCGAAGAAATTGTTATAAAAATTTTTTTAAACAATTGATTTTTGTCGAAAAATTTCGTGAAAATTAACAGCTTACATGTAAATAAAAAAATTTTTTAAAAATGAATTCTTTCCAAGTATTTCAATAAAATTTTTAAGAATAATTGAATTTTTCGATGAATTATTTAAAAATGTTAATAAAAATAATTGAAATCCTGCGATAAGTTTTATTATTTATGAAAATAATTGAATTTTTCAACGAATTTTATTAAATTGAATGTTAGAATTTTATTAAAGTTTTTAAAAATAATTGAATTTATGAGAAGAATTTTATTATTTACAAAAATAATTGAATTATTGCGAAGAATTGAATAAAAAAATTTTTAAACAATTGATTTTTGTCAAAAAACTTTGTGAAAATTAACCGCTTACATGTAAATAAAAAAAAAAAATTTAAATTAAATACTTTCAAAGAATTTTAATGAAATTTTTAAGAATTCAATTTTTTAAGGAATTAAATTAAAATTGTTTTAGAAATAATTGAAATTCTAAGATGAGTTTTATTATTATGAAAATAATTGAATTCTTGAAACAAATTTTATTAACATTTTTAAAAGTAATTGAATTTCCTAAGAAAAATTTCATTATTTTTAAAAATAATTGAATTTTTGCGAAGATTTATATAAAAAATCTTTAAATAATTGATTTTTATCGAAAAATTTTGTGAAAATTGTGTTTTAAAATTATTAAATTTCTGTGAAAATTTTATTATTTTTAAAAATAATTGAATTCTTTCAAAGAATTTTAATAAAATTTGTAAGAATAATTGCATTTTTTGAGCAATTAATTTAAAATTGTATCAGAAATAATTGAAATCCTACGATTAGTTTCATTATTTATAAAAATAGTTGATTTCTTGCGAAGAATATTAAATAAAAATGTTTTTAAATAATTGATTTTTTTCGAAAAATTTTATGAAAATTTTGTTCTAAAATAATTGAATTCCCGTGAAATAGAAAAGAGAGAAATAAAAAAGGGAACTAAGAAAAAAGAGAAATAATTTTCATGCTACTAAAAGAAATTTAAAAAAGCAGTAAAAAATGGACCAAACATTTTTTTTTTGTTTGGTTCATTTGGAACTTTTTTTTCTCCTTTTTCAAAGAAACAACGTGTGTGCAGGTATATAATAGATGCTTTCGCTCTCGTGTGAGCTCTTTAACCCTTCAATAATACCAGAGATAGAATCATTAATCTTTAATCATGATCATAATAAAATGACATGTCAGTATAACATTATGCAATGCAGATAAGTGTTAATGAAGTGTACCTTTACATACAAGAGGTTAATTATATACTATTCTAAACTATACGATTTCACTATATATATTGTCTACGAATATAATTTAGTTTACGTAATTATTCTCAATTAAATCTTTCTTGAACTGTATTAAAAATATATTTAAGCCGCAATAACTATTTTCTATCATAAACACATTTTTTATTTTATTTCATACGAAAAAAAATTGTATTGATTGAATGAAATTTTTTTCTCGATTGAAATATTATTACGGAACTCTGAATATGGAGAAATATATGGTAATATAACATTTACTATTATTTTATTTTTAAATTTTTCTAATCAAACTTTCGAAAGCTGGAAAAAATTTATTTCTTGTTCCCTTATTATATTTTTTACGAAAATAGTAAATTTCCAGACTCGAACAATATTTTTTGCTGCAATAAAAAAACTGCATTTGCTGCCTTTGATGACAATTGAATTTTTT